GGGGTCGCAGTGATGACGCGCGGACGACGCAGCGGTGACGCGCGGACGACGCAGCGGGGACGCGTGGACGACGCAGCGGTGACGCGTGGGGGGTCGCAGTGATGCGGGCGCAGTGTGAGTGGCGGGAGCGGTGATGACCGCTATGTGGTCAGCTTGGATCAGTGGACGTCAGCGTAAACTAGCACACCGCTATGTGGTCAGCTTGGGTCAGTGGACGTCAGCGTAAACTAGCACACCGCTATGTGGTCAGCTTGGATCAGTGGACGTCAGCGTATAAACTAGCACACCGCTATGTGGTCAGCTTGGATCAGTGGACGTCAGCGTATAAACTAGCACACCGCTATGTGGTCAGCTTGGATCAGTGGACGGTATAAGCTATGCGTGGTCAGTATAATCTACTGGACTTGTCCGTTTAGGTGAAAGGACGTTGATGGTCATGCAAAAGACCTAGGTGGTTAGTTTAGTCCAGCAGACAAGTGTAATAAGTTAAGGCTAAGTGACTTGGGTGGTCCGAATAACCTAGAAGAGTTGGAACAAAAAGCGATAAATATTTAAAAAAATATATAACTAAAAAAACAACAACCTATAAATCGCCAGTGAGTTTGTCCGTCGTCAATGTCAACAGTAAGAATTACGAACGGGAACCTTGCCACGATGCCTATATGTATATTTTACTTGAACACAGCTATTTACGTTTAACGAAGCAACGCTATCGGTGCATCGTCTGCGAGGCAGCAGATATAGGAAGCCGGAGGGAACAGCAGGGATCTCTTTGTTTACTCGATGTAAATTTATCGCCAGATCGCAACCGTCTTTCTTTAAAAATCTTACAGGGTAGTAGGAGTGGGGGAGAGTGCGATGTCCTTCGTTTGCCTCGCAGCGCTAAATTTAGCGGTCTTGGGCTTGGCAACTGTATAGATAGCATACAGGTCTCCACACATACTGTTATGTCGCTGGTGTCATGCTGTGGTGGGTGTTCACTGTCGACGTGCAGAAAATATCGGTAATATAAATATATATCGGTGATATAAATATATATCGGCTGTATATATATATATATATATATAGAATAAGGAGTTAAATTTTACTCAGCAAGCTTTCAAGTATCTCTCTTCATCAGGCTATAAAAAATATTTAAAAAAGGTTTTATAGTCTGATGAAGAGAGATACTTCTTGAAAGCTTGCTGAGTAAGATTTAACACTTTATTGTATTTTTTCTTATATTTACTTTCATATCTACATGCTTGTTCGTGTGTTTTTACTTCTATACACACGCACGCACGCACGCACGCACGCACACGCACGCACACACACGCACACACACGCACACACACACGCACACATATATATATATATAATATATAATCCATCAGGCAGTCACCGCCATGCCTCGAATAGAACGCGTGGGTCACTCACCTCTCTCCCAGGTATTCGCCGATGGCGGTCTTGTTGAGTCCTTCACCGCGGAACAGGAACTGTGCAACGTCGTCCGAGGAGTCAGACGACAGCAGCCCGTGGTCGATGAGATACTCGATCCCCTGCAGGTGACAGCAATCGGTGACAGGTGACAGTGACACAGTGTCAGGTGACAGGTGACACAGTGACAGACGCACTCGACAGTAGGAATACCCGCGAAATCACGAACCGCGAAAAGTATTAAAGTTGATAATATTGTATTATATATATATATATATATATATATATATATATATATATATAGATAG